TGTCGTTAAGTAGGTTCTCCCTGGTACGAACATTTCTCCGTAATTTTATCACGTTAAAATTTGACAAAAATTGTTATTATGGTAGAATTTAACTTTTATTTGCTTGGCTTACCATTTAACAACATCCGTGGCGCTTGACACGAAATGTCAAACAACTCAATTCCATAAGGATGAGGTTTTAAACTTTTTTTACAACCAGAATGTTTTATCGCGAGTTTATTACTAGTTTTAAATCTTTTGTAGAATTCCCCTGTGAAAATCCAACACGCCAGCTAACCCTTAAAATAAGAAAATTATTAATTATCCAGTTAGGCTTTGGGTTATGCAGATTGAGCTTGAAATTCAAAAATTTAAATCATCCCTTATTCTAATCGTTACTGGATAATTAATATTTTTATTATTTATTTTAAAACATTGGGGGGTATTTTTTCTAAAATCTCACATTTTTGCATTGGGGACGGGGGTCGGTACGAAAGATCCGAAACGTCGTTCACCATCCCGGGTTGGTATGTTATCAGGTTTTACGGCGCTCCAGAAGTATGTGTACCAATATGGAGGTAACTAATTTGGTTCATCAACTTTATTACATGAAGTTGTGTAAAGGGACTAAAACCTATGGGCAGGGGTATATTCACTTGGCTAACACAAACAGTCGTCGCCCGAACTCGTAATATAACTAAAATAAGGAAAATCGTAATAAAATTATGGTTCCGTTACATTTGAGCCCACGACAATTGCACCTGCATTCTATTGCACCTATGCAAACTTTTTTTACGAATATTTGAACCCATACTTTACCCTAGTCCTAACCCATGGATTTTAGCACCCTTGTATAGATTGAATCCGCGGATATAAAGGTGCAAATGTACGGTCACCTAAAATTATGGCCTAACCCTAACTTGGTACACATACTATGGGTGTACCGATTTTACTAGCTTCCGTTACTAGGTACACAGTTTAAAAACCACCGGCACTTGCAATAAAGAATCATTTCTCTTTCAAAGCGGTTTCCAAATTCTTCTGATAAAACGAAATAAATTTTAATATGTTTGGGCACGCCCTTGACGAGACGGAAATTCTTGTAATATTTGTAATCGGGAAAGTTTCTTTACCTTTTGTCATTTCATCGGATCTTTTAATAAACATTTATTTTTTTTTAAATGGAGAGCACTTACGCTTTTGATAAGCATTCATTTTGGTACTCATGTAGTATGTGAACCAAGATGACGGACACCGGAACGTAGTATGTGTACCAGGTTAGGGATAGACTAAAATTTCAGGTACAAATACTACGGGAGTCACTTGGCTGGTTCCCGAACTTGTGATAGAACTGAAATAAAAAAAAGTTGGAATTAAATTATTGCTTAACCCTAACCTGGTATGGTACACATACTACGTTCCTGTGTCTGCCATCTTGGTACACATACTTATGGAGTACCAATAATTATAAATTTAAAAAAATAGCTGCTAAATTTAACTTGTTTATCTCATATAACCGGATTCATAATCTATTCTGGTCAGTTTGTTAAACGAATTTATTTTAATTAAAAGAAGAATATGTGTTTTTATTCCGTCGAAGTTTGGTCGGCCCTGTCACACTCGTTTCTCGATCTTCTCGGCAAACTCGGACGCTTAATCGCATTGTTTGAGATGCGCGTCTTTCGTGCCCGTATGTTTGATAATTTTTCCTTGTAATATCGGCAGTTTTATAGTCAAAACGTTCGAATAATAATTGTAAATGTTAAATACAGGAGCGAAGATAAAACTATATTTTTTGATATTTGTCATGTTCTCGTAATATACGTGACAACAGTTTCGCATTCAATATTATTGGATTCAAATGGAATTGTGAATTCGGAACTGGAATAAACTGGTTTGAACGAGAAAAAGTAACTTTATTGCGCAGTGTTGACTCAGTTGGGTTCTATTTAAACAGGTATCCTCTCATTTTGACATATTATACTCAAAAATGTGAGTTTTGTAGTGGACTGCCTGATTTGAATATTGAATGATTCAAATGGATATGTGACTTCGAACCTGAATAAACTGGTTTGAACAAGAGAAAGCAACTTAATTATTGTAATTATTGTGAATTCGGGACCAGAATAAACTGTTTTAATTAAACAAGAAAAAGTAACTTAGTAAGTAATAGTAACGTAATGTTGATTCTGTTGAATTTTTTTTAAACTGGAATCCGCTCGTATTATGTTCATGATGATTGTGTGAGTGAACTGCTTGGTTCGTCGAATATTGAATAGATATGGCCTAAACAAGGGTTTCAACTAGGGTTTTCCGCTGGTACAGTCCAGGGATTATAAAAGCTTACATTTAAACCCAAGCTTCTATACTGAGCATGGGCAGACTACGCCCGCGGACCAAATCCGGCTCGTTGGGTAATTTAATTTGGCCTGATACCGTCACCGATAGTTTCTTCAACCCTTCTGTATCGTCTTTTGAGGGAATCACATCACCACGTTGAAAGCTTCGCGTTTATATTATCTAAATCTTTGAGGAAAGGACCATTGGCAAAAACAATATTACCGACGCATTGCTGGCTAAGGGGCGCATCCTGTTATATTATCTTACAATAGGTTTCTATTTAGCGTCATGTCCGTTCGAGGAATGAATAGACTAATCTTAAGTCTATTGCATTTCGCTGACTAGCTGTCCTTGCAGAAATTGTTTATCATTTGTTCTAACCCTGTTTGCTATTTGAAAATCCGTGTGCTGGCATTTTTTATTATTATTCTAATGTCTTTTGAATATCGCGGAGTAGCTTTTCATGTTGATGGTGCCCTACAGGAACTGTTTATCATTTGTTTTTTGTTTCTGTCCGCTCTGTATAAGTCTTTGTGCAAGCATTAATATGAATGCTCCTGGCTTTGCAGACATGCTGACGAGCTCGGCTAATATATGGTGCTCCAGAAGTATGTGTACCAATATAGATGAAACTAATTTTGTTTGCCTACTTGACACCAAGTTGTATAAGGGACGGAAGTCTATGGGCAGGGGGTATATTCACTTGGCTAACACAAACAGTCCCAGCACTCGTGATAGAACTAAAATAAGGAAAATAGGAATAGATGGCCTAACTCCAATCTGGTACGCATACTACGGGAGTACTAAATACATAACACGAACTTGAGTGTATCTTTATATCTGAAGGAGCGTTATATCTCTATATATCCTTTTTTGTATGATTGTGTCCAATCAAGTTAATGTGTAATATTAAGTTGTCCTGTTGCTATATTTGCTGCTTGATTTCAGCTGCAAGGTGTCGCTGACTAGATGACTCTTTGAGTGACTCAAATTAAGTTTTTGTGAAATCTCGCGACGCAAGGATATACTCGCATACTAACGTTATGTAGTGCTTTTATGGTCGCATAATTCAATGGCCAATGCAGACGGAAAAACGGGCGCACCTAGAATATTTTACGGCCACCCGTAGGTAGGGAACACTGCATTAAACCAGGTTTTCCCCGCAGTATGTGTACTAAGTTAGGGTTAGGCCATAATTTTATTCCGATTTTTCTTGTTCAGATCTATTACAAGTTATAGAACTAATATGTCTATGTCTATGTTAGCCAAGTGTATACGTGCCCATAAGTTTCCGTTCATTTACACAACTTGATGTAAAGTAAGCGAACAAAATTAGTTACCTCCATATTGTCACACACACTTCTGGAGCGCCTTAAAACCATATATCGTACATTTCAGCGAATATGGGGTTATTTTTGTGTCATTGTTCTTTTCAATACCTAATTTAGAATATATTCAATATTCGAAAATATTATTTCTTGATGTTTTCGGAACAATCGTTAATTGGAATCTTCAAATCAATTAATCACACTGTAAACAGTCAATTCAATTTTCAATAAATTCGTCCAACAGCGGCCGCGATATAGCTATTAAGTCTTACTTAGCATTCCGGTCATCTGATAAGACCTGTCCGGCCTGAGCGATACCAGACGCTTCGTTTTAAAATTGTTTGATTATATGAATAAAGCTTTGAGCTGTGTTTTGAGTACTCTCGTAGTGTGTGTACCAGGTTAGGGTTAGGCTATAATTTCATTCCGATTTACCCTATTTTAGTTCTAATACGATGTTCTCTTGGCTATTACAGATAGTCCCCGAACTTGTAATAGGACTGAAATAAGGATAATCGGGATGAAATTAAGGCCTGAACCTAACCTGGTACACACACTACGGGAGTACCGAGGTATTCACGTGGCCTCGTCGGGAACTGAAGGCTTGTGTATAAAAATAGTAGCTATTACTTGCAAATCGCGGTAAATTTATAAAAATAAACTATGTTTTTACAGTTTCGAAACCAGTGATTGTTTTTGTTAAAGATAAAGAAAACTTGTGAGCAATATCGAAGCTTAAAATATTTTGCATTTTATTATTACTCGGATGTTTTGATTACCGCTCAATCAGGAAAAGCCAGTATCCTGTTTTTCAGTGGTTTGCGATGCGTCAAATGGATATACGAAACTGTTTTCTCTTTATCTTATCCTTATGTTTTTTTAAATATCCTGTTTTTGTTTCCACTAATTATGCGAACGGTTCCCTTTAAATTTGTCTTTGGTTAGTTTCATGGACTAAGTAATTCCCGCGGGCCCCCTAAGTTTCAATTTAGTACCCACAAAGTTTTGTTAACGTCCTCATAACGCTCTCGTAAGACTTTTTTTTTGTTCATAGTTTAATTTTTTGTTCGCGGATTACGCATTTTTGCCATGTAATTTAGTGCGTTTCCCCGGTGGTTTCTAATGGTCTGTTGCTGCTTTTTCTTTACCGTGATTCGTGAAGATTGATGGCTTAATTATTACGCCTCACGGCTCGCCAGTCTGGTTGAGAAAAAATTTTAACCCCTTGTCCAAAAACCGCCCCTGGTCCGAAAAAACGCCCTGGTCCAATAACCAGAAACCGTTTTCGAGCGAGCGGCCACTGCTGATTTACTTACAAAATTTGATTTGTTAATTTAATTAATTTATCTTCTATGCGAAAATTACAGATTAAAGATTATACCTAATTAGTACACATTGTCAAACTAAAGTTGTAAAAACAGCACGAAAATGACGCCTGCTTACGTTATATCAGCAATACTGCTGGTTGTATCCCTGGCAACAGTCGATGGTCTCAAATGTAATGAAGGATTCAACGTCTCCCTCGGGGGAATCCCCTTCTATCATTGGACTGAACGGACATGCGGGGCAAACAGCAAATGCTTTGGACAACAATTGGGAGCGAAACTAGCTGGATTGATGGGTAAGTTTAATTTAAGGTTAGTAAAGGTAGTATGCGTTCTAAATATTATTAATCGCGAAAGACGAGATCGTCAAAAATGATGGCCGAGGGCGGTGTTTCCCCAACCTGTGGCCTAGGTATCTTCTTGGGTCGCTTGTTCATATCAGAAAAATCTAAAATTTACCGATTTTACTTTCTGATAAATTTTATTGTTCATTTTATATATGGTATGAAAGTGTTGCTCAAAAGTAATTATATGTGTATCACTGCGTAAAAACAGCACGCGTCGATTTCAAAAACTCGCTGACATCGTCGAATTTTTTTTAAATATTTGGCTCGCTTGAAAAAAAGGTTGGCAACCACAGGCCTAGGGCAGTGTTTATCAAACTCTCATAATCTGTGGCCTCTTCCCAAAGAATATTAACACTTGTGGCCCCATGATTTTAGAATAAAATACCGTGTTTTTCTTTAACGCGCCCCCTACACTTATATTAGACACGCGTTTAATAATAAAAAGCTACCTTTCACCACCGTGAAAGATATGGGTCGGAGATATACTCAACTCGGGGTAAATACCAGGACCGGAAATACTCGGTACTCCCGTAGTGTGCGTACCAGGTTAGGGTTGGGTCATAATTTATTCCGATTTTTCCTCTTTTCACCCCTTACGAGTTCGGGGACTTTCTGTTAATATGCCCATAGATTTCAGTTCTTTTACACAACTTGATGTAAAGTAGGCTAACAAAATTAGTTATCTCATATTGGTACACACACATCTGGAGCGCCAAATATCTGCCTTCAAACATATTAATGTCCTTTCGGACATATCCTTATGTGCTGTGAAAGGCGTTTTAGAAGACTGTATAAAATGTGTGGCATGCGCTGTACCGGGAATTGTGTTTAAGGAAAGTTAAAAGCAAATGGCGTCATCTGCTGTCATATCATCACCAGGAAATTGTAAGATGATCTTATAACCGGTATTACGAAACTGACTGCAGTGTCTGTTCTGAACGTGCAAATAAAATAACAACAGCGGGGGTTTCTCGCTCGTGAAATCAGTGTTTACGATACATAAGTATCGTGCTCTGTTAAACAACTTGGTTTTGTAAGACGAAGCAAGTGAGCTCGAATTCTTGATTTCTGTAAGCCTTCTGTTAGGACATAGAAATCATTCAGTAATGAAAACTATTTCTATCACTGGAAGAAGGAAAAGAGGGTCTAAAACATATTTTATATATTTTTTAAACACAATCTATGGACTGTGGGTTGAAACGATGTTTTACGGGTTCTTTTGGCTTTGGACGAGGCTCTGTACAATCAGCCTGCTTTTCTTACGGGACTAGAAGTCTATCGACTTCGCGAATTCATGGTTTCATTCATGGTGGCCTTTACGAAAAAATACTGACGACGATTTTTATTCGAAGCTTTCGTGCTATTCACTCAATAAAAGCAGCCACCAGTATTTACAATCAATTTATCCCATCTTATTCCTAATCTAACCATTGTTTTCAGGGTGAGAGTAGGACCCTCCCCCCCCCCCCCCCTTTTAAAATGTAGTAAAGCGATTTTTGGTAGCTCGAACCGCATTCTAGACTTCCGACCTGCTAGTTGTTTCGGTTTACCTTCGCATTTAGAATTCTACAGAGACCATAACTTCTGTGCCAAGCCTGTCTGTGTGAACAACATTAAATTTCTACTTTTTTTTTTATTTATTTGCAGTAAAAGCGAGATATGGAGCCTGCATTTCAACCAGCTACGCTGACCTACTTGACTGCAACAAATTGTTCGGCCCCGATAGCACCTTGGACCCAGCTGCCCTTCTCGACCTGATCCCTGATATCCAAACAACCATAGAAGCGGCGATCCAAGATTTCGTCAAAGACTCAACCGGCCAGCTTCAAGAACTATTCTCGAATGGCAAAAATGTAGATGAATTTATATCTGGAATTGTCACATTTTACGAAAATATGGGCTTCAACATGGAAAAATTCAAACCGTTACAACCATCGATAGGAAAAATGTTTTTGGCCGCGTTTAATATGTCCGACCCGCAAGCAATGGGAGTTGCGGTGGGGGAGTTTTTCACAGCGCTCGGAAATCTGGACACTGAAAACACCGAATTTACAGCCGACATCTACAAATTCATCGGTAACTTTCTCAACCAGACCATGATCGATTCCCAAATCAAGGCAAACCCGATGTTCAAAAGTCTGATCGAAAAAGTGCCAGGCTTATTTCAGTCCATGCTCCCGACAAATTGGAATTCCACACTTTGGTACGACATCGTTTTTAAACTCTTAGGCGACATTGACATTACAAACCCGAAACAGAGCGCAACCGATGCCATTGCTACTATCAGAGCCCACTATACCATACCGGACGAAGTCAAATTGGTTCTCGATCCTCTCTTCAACGCTATACCAGATCTTGTCGATAAACTCGCCCAGGGAAATGTCAACTACGCTGGAACTTGGTCTCTCGAGCTTCTGAAGCAATACAGCGAAACCAATGCCGCAACTGAAGCCTTCGCCACTGCATTGATCACCTTCGTTGAGAAAATTGCGAACGTTACCACTCTTGAAACTGAGTATAAGACGATGATACAATGGGTTCCAGGTAGGTCACGCAATCACTGTTCCTAGACCGTAGATCCCTAGCCAGCCCAAAATTTTGGGGAGTTAGGAAGGCAATTTTTTATTGGTTTCATTACATTTGAACCCATGCCAATTGCACCTGCATACTATTGCACCTATAGAAATTTTTTTTTTTACGAATATTTGAACCCACACTAACCCTAACCCATGGGTTTCGGCACCCACATATAGATTGAACCCGCGGATATACACATGGGTTCAAATGTACGGTCACCTTTTTCTGTATAATGAAGTAATATAACGCTCAGTCGTGCTCTTTACTCCGAACAAAGCCAGATAAAAGTAGCTATAGCTTGGCCCCTCAGGCCTCCCATGGCTGCTACGCTCGTATGTCAGCCGAATAGCTCTCTTCAAATGAGACCGTTTAAGTGATGAGTGGGAACCTATATTCATTCCCGAACACCCGGCTGCGTCACTGTATCATCCTGTTGTCTATATGGAAGCCCAATTGCCTTCTACAGTGAGGGGGGCATTCAAACGGCGATTGGGAGCGTTTATTAATCCCTATTTCTAATTGACGCGAGATTCAAAGCACCTTGAATTGATACAATCAGGAAGAGAAACTATGAGCTAGGATTCCACATAACTGAGCTCTTTTAAAAAAATTTTTGGTTTGTTTTTAGTATTTTAACAAACATACGTGTGTAAAACAGTTTGAAGTGTGAATATTAACAATATATATCACCAGCAGTGTTCACTCTGGGGATAAGAATATTATGAGGCACTCACTGTTGATAGTGAACACTGATCAGTATATTTTGTGTTTGACTATCTCAATTATATTCGCATTAATGTTCTTAAAATTATTTCTAGGTCTGTTCTACAAATTCTTTCCCGCCGAAAAGTCCAAGATTGAAGACGTTTACAACAAGATGGCGGCCGGGTTCAACTCTTTCAATTTCACCGACCTTAGCGACACTGCGGCTACAACCAAACTAAGCGATTTTATTCTCAGTATGATCAAGAAAATCACTACTAAAGATGCGGGTGTAATGGAAAAGGCTTTGGTTGTCAACTTCTCTAAAATGTTTTACAACCTGTTATCCGATTATACCACCGAGTTGGACAAATTTTTCCAGGTAAGTTATGAATTAGTTGAAAAAAATTATCTAACCTTGCTAATAAGGCGGCGTAGTTCATTGCTTCATATGTCGATGTTCCTCAACGTATAGGTCGCGACCCAAGGGCTTTTTTTCTCGTGCTCGTTTTTTAACAAACGAATAAAAATGCCACAGTAGGAAAATAATTCTTTTTTATCAGTAATTTAAATGTTCTGTTGTAGTGGCACTCGTTAAGTATTTGAGCATATTCTTGGGTCGCGTGGTTTCACGAAATTTATTTTTTTTAAATTTGGGTCGCTTGAAAAAGGGTTAGAAATCACAGTTTAATTAATAAATTGAGTACGCCATGCCAAACTGAAAGAGATTCCAATTCTCACAAAAGTAGTTGATACTTCTGCATAATTGGTCGCTTGTACGGAGACTTTCTCGTGGTGAATGTGTCTAGCATTCTGTTAAGAAGGCGATGTGGCTCATTTCTCTATATCGGTGTCTTCCAACATATAGGTCGCGACCCGAGGTTGGGTCGCCTGTCTTTTTATCGAAAATAGTACCTTCTTTGGACGTTGTGGTTAATTAAACAGTCATTTTTGGGAGTGAAAATATTTTACCGATGTATCTTTTTATCTCTTGCCCATATCAGTCATTAAACATTCGTGCCCGTGAATTTGAGCATCGCTGCATTGTTTTTTAGATTAAATGTCTGCCCTTAAATGTTTTACATTCTACTGCTTTAGTAATATATATCTTTTCTATTTTCAGGTTTTCATTGACGGATTCGTTAACTTCCCTACAATCAACGCCGGCGAAATCATTGGAAAACTCATTACAGAAATGGGCGGGACAGTACCAGCTGAAGTCGCACCCTTATTAGAGCATTTACAGGGCGTAATTACCGCTGCAACACAACCCACGTTCGATGTAAATGCTCTGATAAGTTCTTTCGATGCAATTGTCAATGCATACAAGACCGCTTTTCCCAGCTCCCCAATGCCAGATCTCATTAAGCAGTACTACATGCTGATAAAGAATAACATCGTCTGGTCCAATTACTACTATGCTGAAATAAACAAGATTTACAGCAGCCCATGGCCGTACAATCAAACCGCGATAAACGATCTGAGTGCCGAAAACACGCTCAAGATGAATGAGTATTTGATGGGGATGATTTACTGGCAAATCGACTTCCAGTTTGCTATGTTCAAGTGAGTGCCACAATTATTCCACTTGACTATTTATTTTTAAATCGGTACCTTCCCAGTATTTTGTTGGTTTCCAAATATTATTGTTTACTCTACTTATGGAATTGGCAAAGTGTAAATAGAGAAAATAATTCCCCCCTACGCCACATCGTGAAATATGTGGCATTTTTGCAAAGAAAGATGTCATACGCAGTCACGGTGCCACAATCATTGGCTATTTTTTGTTATTATAAAGCGTTACCTGAGAATAAGTGGCATATTTTTGAGTAGGAAGGCATTTTACCAAGTCACGAGTAGGGCTGGGCATTTTCGAATACCTGATGATTTCAGAATCGAATCGAATATTTTTTTCGAATCGAATCGAATCTCGAATACTTAGGAGATATATAATTGTATGTAACTTTCTTATTGTATTAGGTCCTCCCAGACACCTAAATTACTGGAAACGTAATATGCATCACTCAGACAGATTTCTGAGCGTTTACACCCAATAAAAACACGTTTTCATCAATAACTCACTCCAGAAAAAAAGTCGTATGTCGGAATTGCGTTGAAAAAGTATGACTTCAATAAAAAAAATTGAGAAATTTAACTCGACAATTGGCGGAAAAAAAATAATCAAAGATGGCGGCGATTCGAAATATCGCTCTGAATCGATTCGAATAATTTACTATTCGATTCGAATATTCGATTAGAAATGCCCAGCCCTAGTCACAAGTGCCACATAAAAATTTAGATATTTTTAACAAAGCCTTTTCTAATACGATGAATGTGAGAAGTCAGGAGAACTTCATAGACACACGAACCCCAGATTATAAAAATTTTGACTTAGATGTAAATCCGAAACGTTTAGTTAACTCAATGTGAATTCAAAATTTCGGCTAAAAACTCGCGGTAATACCAAGTCCAGTGAACAACATGCTGAACAACTCAGACTTTCGGCTTCACAGCCCGACCCATTACTCTGTTAAAGTTTTTTAAGTTTCAAGTTTTGACAGAACTTTATTGATTCGGAAATTTTGAACTTAAACAACTGAATAAACGAGAATATCGGTCAGAGACCGAAGGCTTATTGATCGAAAGTTAGGGGATCCCCAAAACAGCGCTCTTACCCCATAGTGACACCTTGTGTCCCTTCACTAAATAATTAATAACTCGCTAATTATACGACATAATTCATCCAAAATCAATAGGCTTCCGGTCCGACATATGATAAATGTACATGCAAAATCTGGAGCAGATTCAATCTCGCTTTCGTGAGATATCGCGTGCATCTAACAGACAGACAAACAGACAAATACCTCAAAAAAAAAATCGATAAGTAACAAACGGAAAATTACTTCTATCAAAATAAAACGTCAAATATTACTTAACTTCTGTCTGCGTATGATTGTACCTAACAGTTTTAGTATTCCGGAACACTTTGCATTAAAGTATATCAGTATATCTTTCAAATGCACTTGGTTCTGTTCTTTGGGTTCGCCCCGTGTTGTGAATCAAAAAACGGCAGGCCATTTACAGGATTGAAGTATTTGTAAATACTCTTTTGCGCGCTTTTAAACGATATTTGAGCCTTCGTTATTTAAGAGTTCAGGCTATCGATTAATCGATCTGTATTTCAGCAAGAAACTAAAATGGACCTTAAAATGTCACAAGACTGGAAGTTTGTTGCTCAAAATAACTTTAAAAAAAAAAAATCGGTGCTCCAGAAGTATGCGCTCCAAGATGTCGCACAACCTGAATCCTAACCGGTTCACACATACTATGTTCAGATTGTGCGCCATCTTGGTGTGCATACTTCTGGAGGTCAAAAAAATCCGATTACTGATATGCGCAATTAAAATTTAAAATATTCTGTTGAAAGGCTTTATATCTTTAAAAATTAATCAATTTAATCCAAGTATAAGTGGGAGCCCGTACAGAGCCTTTTTCAAAAAGATGAATACTGAATACATCGCACAAAATAAGAATATTTGATTGCCCTTTGAAAATTCTATATTAATTAATATAAAATAAGAATTCTAATTTTAATTTCGGATACGGGTATTACCAGATGTAAGGAAATTCGACTCCAACCACACCTATTATACTTTTATTTTGAGTTCTGTGCTCAGCTTTGTTGGTGGGTCACTGATGTAGTCTGGGGTATTGGCCGTGGGGGGATTCAAAATTTTAAGAACTGGTTCGCTTCTGTATTGAACTCGATAACAACAAACTTTTGGATTTCAGAAAGTATATGCCGGTCACGGTGCCGCATTAACATGACACGCTACACATCAATCTAATACATAATATTTTAAACACTAATCGTCAGCTACGGTGCACGTAGCTCATTTGCTGCGTTTTTACAACGTCAAAAGCAGGGGTGTGCAACATTTTTAGTCGACGGGCCATATAACCAATTCAGACGTCTAGCTTGACCAATCAAAAAAAAAAAAATTATTTCTTCTATGCACACAATGAATTACAGTTACAAGGACACCGGGTGCCTTTTTAAGCGTTATCTGTGCATTAGGATTTTATTCTCGATGGGGAAAAATGTGAGTTTCGATAGGGGCCACACTGAATGACTTGACGTAGGGCCGCCTGTTGCACATCCCCTGGTCTAATTATCGTTCGCTAATTATCATGATATTCGGCACGGGATCACACAATCTTCTTGAAAGAAACCCACCACAGGTAGTACTGTTGGGACTCCATTTGACTCATTTTATACTTTAATTTTAGGCTCACCAACCCTGCAAGCGACCAAATAAACCAGGCAATCATTGCTGCTTTCCCACAGTACGGAACATACATCAGACTTATGGAAGCTCTCGACCCAGTAGATATCAAACAATTGATCAAAGATTTTGTTGGTGAGAAATTGTGTTATATTTTTGAACGTGGTGGCCAAGCGAAGAAATGTTGAAATTTTTTAACGAATGGGCCATATTTTGTATATTTTTAGCACTGTAAAGTGGAATGTGGGTCTTAGATACAATCAATGTTACCTCGGTGGTTCCCAACCATTTATGGCTCGTGGCCCCTTTCGGAGACGTTTAGCACTCATGTCGCCCTGTTAATCATTCCAGTGGCACTTATAGTATTTTGATTGGTTGATTCCAAATACCATTATGTTTAAACACCCTGTGAAATAATCTTATCGAAAGAACTGTAGGAAGAACTGAGAACATCCTCGCAATATCCCGATTCCTAACTATTTTTTTAAATTCATTACAGGCTGGCTTGCCACTGCCGGGACTACGCCTCTCACCTCCCAAGGTTTCGTTGCCGCCACCAAACCTACGTTCCAGAAAATAACCGCTAAAATGGTCAACGTGACGAAGGAGCTCAGGCATATGTTTTCTCCCGAGTAAGTAAATCAATTTGTAGCATCAACCAGGGGAGTTGGGTTATTGGAGGTTCTGGCACTGCCCGTTTGGTAGCCAAATGGCGATCGGGCTCTAGTAAGTTGTTGGTAAATTGTGTAATTAAGCACATTAAAACTCAAAAAAAGTTTTAGCATTTATTTCAAATTCAAAACAGCCTAAAAGAGTTTAATTCAAATTCATTATTAGAATAAAATTTATAAGAAATGAAAGGAAACTGATCTTGATCATAATTTTTTTTAGTAAGACATAGTCAATAGACATGGAAAAAACGTCACCAGGGACGTAAAATATTTTATATCCGACGATTTCGCACTTACAACTCCATTTAGGTCGAAATTTGACTTGGGAATTTGTAAAGATGGAAAAAATATCCTGCAGTCTCTGATTTGAAGATCTTCATTCGCTAAATTTTTTCTCGACAGTAATAGTCACTTAGTCTTCTTGTTCATATACGCGGTAAATTTGACAGACAGCTATTTATTTTTACAAAGAATAACGTTTGCAATTTTTCTTAAAGGCATATGTTTTTTTTTACACACGTAGATGCTCAAAATGTCGTCCTTGCACTTCAAAGTAGTGTCTTAACACCTAATAGAACCTAAAATGTATCAATCCCCCCCCCAAAAAAAAAAATATTAAAACTTAGAACCTAAAGCTGCCAGCTGCCACTCACACCAATGATAATAGAGTTCTGAAAACTCAACTTCCGAGCTTACAAATTAAATTAGATATTGGTCCTTGGGTTTTGCTGCTCGATAACCAGTTTTGGTTCCGCGCGGCCTCCCTTTCCAAGTAAAAATGCGTGTTGAATCTTATTTATTTTTCAATTTCGTATGTCATTTTTTACTGGATGGAAAAAATAAAATTGGCTCTGACTAGGAAATAAAAATGAATCGAAAAAGAACTTAGTAAGCACGTACCTGACCTATAAAAATATCCTGTATTTTGGCCATTGCTATATCTGTTGTCTAATTCAAGCAATTTTTTTATTTTCAGTACCTGCAAGTTTGGATCATGCGAGGCCGATCTATGCAACGACCATAAATATATCGAAGATCAAAACGAAGTTACAAAGGTCACCACGACAACGACTCCTGCCACCACCCCAACGACGACCGAGTCCACCACCTCCGGATCCGGAAAAATCTCCTACTCGTTCTTGCTCCAGATTGCCACCATGTGGATGGCTTGTAAAGCTCTCGTGGGATAAAGAATCAACTTTCTGATATTGTTTTCGTAACCTATGCCCAAAATATATTGCTATGCCTTATATACATAAAAACAACTGCACAAAAAGTGACACATTTAAACAAATTCTTCTGAGTGGAACGAAAATTCGCCCTTATTATTGAAATATGTTCAGAGTCGTATAGCATAACTTTTTCATCCTGGCATTTCAATGGTATCCTTGGTAAGATGCTTGAGTGGCCTTAAGTTAATAAAGTGTCTGTATATCGATTTGTATAAAAGTTATTCTCTCAAAATCAAATTAAACCAACGTAAATTATTTTTTTTTAGCAATAAACGATAGCAAGACGATTTTTTGTGGTTATGTAATAATCCACTCATTATTTACTGATCGACTTTTCTGTCATCAAGACCGCACAGTTCTTTATTACCACTTATTATTCCAATATTGAGCCGCACTGCATGTTAATCAGCACATTTATTGAAGAATTGTTGTTAATACGAACTATTTGAATTTTCTTATTTGTTCCGCATATGAAGTTTCATGAACACTAGCTTTTTCGTGACAACGTCATTTGACGTCACGAATGTTGGCGATTTATTTTCTTTATCTTGCACATATTTTTTGCGTGCACGATCAAATTTTTTTGATATTATTATTGTTTTGCCACTTTTTTTAAACTGTTGGAAGGTTTGTGCTTGATGCTGAATGGTCGTGAATATGTCTTGCCCACACCCGCATACTTGAATAGCAAGAGATCCTGCGCAACTGATTTTTCCTAAATAATATATGTCGAAATGTCGCATTGATTTACCAGAATCAATATGTCATTTTCAATAAATTACTCAATGTTTTCGTATTTTCAGTATTGCTGCACGTTTACTCCCCCCCCCCCCCCCACTCCCTCCAACTTTTTATATAACATAAGAGGGGGATTTGATTTCATGCATGTTCTACTTCCCATAATCTTTAATGGTAAAGTATTGTTAAAGTATTGTTTGTTGGGCTTTTTGTTTAGAATGTTGTTTCTTTCTTATGATGGAAATGTGCAATGTCGTGGGTTTGCCCAAATAAGGTTTACAGCTTGAACTTTTTAAAACTTGAAGGAAATTGGATCGATTTTAGTTGGTAAGGCCTATTGTATGATGCGATTATTGTGGGGTAATGTGTTCGGCCTTCAGAGCCAAACCAATAAACCAAAAACATCACTCGAACTGATGTCGATAATGCTCTTTAATCAGAGGGGCTCTAAGTGGCTATCGTTACCACTATCTAATGATCGCTGAAATGGGCCTCTTGTTGACTGATTTTTGTCACGAGGGGGAAGTTGTGTAGATATTTGTGTGAATCTCGCCTTTTTTCTCGATTTTTGGCGTTTGCTATGTAATTTTTCTCTTCAATTCGATTATACGCTATTGTTTGTGTATATTTTGTTTGATTTACTGTTGATGACGTCATGAATTTTTTATATTACGTCACTTGGATTTTGGCGTATTCATTCAAAAATTTCTGTATCTTAAACAATTAAATCTAAAATGTAGTCGGAATTGCCTTATCCGACAATTTTTTTTCTTAGCTCTGCGCGTTCAATGCAGCGTTATGCATTCAATGCAATATATTTCGTTTCGATTATTTTTTTTTAGTGTGATCGTGTGTTTCCGTGTTCCTAATCCGCTAATTCAAAAAATCAAGTTTGATTATTTGTCCCTCGCACAGCCAGGATATACTAAGAATAAGACATGCCCTGAATTCGAAGCCATAGTCTTGAATTGGCCGAAACACTAAATTTATCTTAAACAACAACGTTTGCTGTATTTGGTCGCGATTCTTCGAATATGACGGGAAGTAGAGTTATAGTTGGTTGCGCAAAAATCCTTAGCGTGACCAGCTGATCTATGTTCTTAAAACGTGAAAAAACTGAACCACTCCGAAGTTAACCTTGCGCAAGAGATGCGCGTTGCTTTGAACTAAAATTTAGTGTGTTTGTTTGAATTCAACTAATTGACAACTTGCTATTTTAAGCGTAAGGATCAATATTTATCATAAACTACGTGGTCCGCACGAAAGGTTATTTTGTAAGTGATAAGTCTTGAAATAGAGCACGGTATAATTCGAATGCTCCTTGCACCTCTGCGTTACGACTGGCGAGGGACGTGATTTTGTATATTCCTATTCACTTATAAATCGACTGATAAATTAATAAAAACTACCCGAAGTGTAATGTCTTGTTTGTTTTGTTGGTTTGAATATGTGAAAGGAAAAACTACGTTGGACAGCAAATTACAAATTCAGATTGAATTGGGCAAAGGTCGGACCACGGTCAAATTGATCGGATTCAAGATCTACTCTGTTTGATTGTAATGGATGCTGAAAAAACGGTACTCCCGTAGTATGTGTATCAGGTTGGGGTTAAGCCATAATTATATTCCGATTTTCCTTTTGTTCTATTACGAGTACGGAAACTGTCTTCGTTAGCCAAGTGAATATTCCCCCTGCTCATAGGTTTTAGTCCCTTTACACGACTTGATGTAAAATAGGCAAACAAAATTAGTTACCTCCATATTGGGGCACATACTTCTGGGGCACCCAAAAAACGAACGTTTTAATCCGTCGTACTAATTTTTCGACTAGTAGATTCTACAATGAAACCAGGTCACTGGTAGATTTGAATACAGAACTAAGCAAACATTTAGAAGATCGCATTCAAAAATTTCAAAATATCTGGAAGCGGTATTTGAAAGTTGAAATCTCAAAAATTATATTTTTATTGTGGAAAAGGAGACTGTTAGTCATAGATATTCAATCGATGTGAAAATTACTGTTTCGTGTTTTTTGTTAATAATAATCCGATTATCCCATAATTCTCGAAATCAGCAATTTCTGGTTGTCTATTCTATGCAATTAATACGCGCGAGTGCAAATTTGCATGCATAGGAATTGCCGAGAAACGTATATAAAAGGTGTCCATGAAGTCTTAAAAAAATTTAAAATTGAGGGAATTCATCGATACCATATATTGTGTTGGACCTCACAGATGTATTGAATGGAGTAATATACTTAAACAATTACTGATTGAAAAACAACAAACCTGTTGAAGATATAATGAGAACTGACTCCATAACGAAATTGAAACTGTAAAGGGACTTTATGGACACCCTGTATATAAGGATACGGCAATTTTGTTTATGGTTTTGGATTGTTATTTGTATCAAACAATAACTCTGAATCATCATTGTATGAGATCATATTGTTTCTGATATTTTGATTGCACAAGAAACATAATAATACATTGACTCAACTTCCTCAACACGTAGGTTCGTCTAAATTCGAATTATTTGTACCGGTATCGTCCACCTCAATTTCTTTCTATTTTTCGAACTGAAACCTATATTTGGACAGAGAATATATGAACTCTCGATGACAATATAGTCAATGGATACAGCCGGGATAGCTTTAAATGTGTGCCTATGTAGTAAAATCAGAAAATGTAAAGTTACAAAATCACAGTACTCACTTCACTAGTTCAGTGAGGGCAATGAGACATATCAATTTAGCATCTAACATTGACTACTGCAGTTAAATTATTCAAAATACGTCCAAATATTTGAATGTCAATAATATTCATATGAGTCGAATATTACAAATCTCGGGATCGAACCAAATGTCGTCCAGTCCACACTGTCCTGTTTTTTTTTTGTTTAACATACATCAGTATATCGTAAGCCTAGGTATAATGTATGGATGACGTTGTGCACCCGATGCCAGCAATCTAAAGGTGAGATTAATTTGAGCATGGTGATAATAATAAGAGATATGTAAGAAGAGTTGAAATAGTCACCGGGTGATTGAGGATCAAGTTATTCAAATAAACAGTCATTTGGATGTTTCATAATGATTTAAAAATAGGTTCGGATTTTACTTTCAAAATGTTAGTCCACCTACAACTATAGTTTGAATAAAGAAAATTTGAAGAAAAAAACCTTTGAAAATGTATTTGAACCTAAATTAAATCAAATTTGAATATAATTCGGTTAAAATTTGAATGAACTAATAACTCTCAAACATCATTGAATGAGATCATTTTGTTTCTGATATTTTGATTGCACAAGAAACATAATACTACATTGACTCAACTTCCTGGCAGGTAGGTTCACTTCTTCCAATTCTATAAATTTGAATAATCATGACACACAAGAGGTAAGGCCATAATTTTATTCCGATTTTCCTTATTCTAGTTCTATTACAAGTTAATAAATAGTTCTATTAAGTAAGCCATGGGAAGCCTATATAATACAATGCTTTTATATAATAATAATAAATTGCGTAATTCCAACCGGACTTGTAGGCTGGACAGACCGACATCTTGAAACCAAAATCTGAACCTATCATGTTTATTTATTGGAGTGAGAAGTCCGGTTGGTATTTACGCATTTTATATATATATATATAGGCATTGTACATGTATTTGCAGGCTTGTCCATGGGACAATGTGAGATGCTCCCGCTTGGTGCTGACTGGCGATTTTAAATGACTGCTGCTTAATTGAAATGCTTGTACGTCACTAGTTGAGTAATAATACGAGTTTCAATCATTTCCAATTTGAAGAAACATTTTACGATTAAAACTTTTTGTCCTTTTCCCGCCTTCAATCAAATGGCGCCCAGGGCGTCAGCCGCGGCTGCCATACCCTAGATACGCCACATCCCATCCACCCGACGGGATTCCTATTGGGATACAATTTAATAAAAATTAATAAATTTATGAAAATTTAGGTTTATTGTATATAGGAGTACATGTACGAAAAGACGTGCAAAACGACAAAATCTATTGACTCCGTTCACTCCAGAAGTTGTCTAACTATGAATCTTTGATAATTCAGTATCATTCTGGCACTCTTATTCTATTTCTTAGTCGCTCTGCTCATGCATTCATTCGACTGATAAGAACAAATTTAATTATGTATATATTATGCAATGTAGCCAATTTGTTCCGTAGGGGCTGATAACATGCAATGTTGTAAAGGCGTAATGGTTTCAGTGGCCACTTATCCCCGATCATATATCGAGGTCCAACGCCGTGATAAGCATTCCAGAGAAATTGTTTGCGTGCACCATATATTTATAATTTTTAGTCTTATTATGTTTGAATCGACTACTGACTTTCAGTGGCCTGAAATTCAAATCCAAAATTCGACCAGTCGCACGATATTTGACGTTCACAAAGGTGGTTTGACAACATAGTATACTTAGGCCCACCATACGTCCCAGTTTAGTCGGGACAATCCCAATTTTGACAAGCTGTCCCGCCCAGTAGACTTAAATGTCCCGGTCATGCTGTATGGTAGTTATAATTATTTTTTTTTCAGTTTGATGTAACACATTTATTTGTTATTGGAGGTTAATTGTTTAATATAGTCAGTCCATTTATCACTCACTTGCGACTCACTTCACTAGTTCAGTGAGAGCAATGCGACATATTCGTGAGAGAGAGCACCATATTGGTATTTTATAATTATTATATATATGTAAATACGTCAATTTAGCATCTAACATTGACGGTACTGCAATTAAATTATTCAAATTACGTACAATGATTTGAATGTCAATAATATTCATATGAGTTGAATATTACAAATCTCGGGATCGAACCAAGGCTTGTCTGATCCACACTGTCACGGTTTTTTGTGCCATATATATATATCGTAAGCCTAGATATACTGTATGTATGGCGCTGTGCACCCGATACCAACAGTTTGGAGGTGTGACTGATAAGAGATAATTAGGAAGACAAATAGTCACGAGATGACTGATGATCAAGATATTCAATGTTCTATAATGAATTAAAAATAGGTTCGGATTTTGATTTCAAAATGTTAGTCCGCCTACAACTATAGTTTGAATAATGAAAATTTGAAAAAAAAAACTTTGAAAATGTATTTGTACCTAAATTAAATCAAACTTATATTAAATTCGATTAAATTTGAAAAAACTAATGACTCTAAAACGCCATTGTATGAGATCATTTTTTTCCGATATTTTCATTGCATAAGAAACGTAAGACACGGACTCAACTTCCTGACACGTAGGTTCGCATCTATCACTGCAATAAATCTGGAAATAAAGATGACACACACGGAAATGTCTTGCAATTAATGTTCATTATATTCCTGTATGACGATGTAGTATTTTGGGTACCCCCGTAGTATGTATACCAGGTTAGAGTTAGGTCATAATTTTTATTTCGATTTTCCTTATATTAGTTAGTTTACGAGTTCGGAAACTGTCTGTGTTAGCCAAGTGAATATACCCCCTGTCCATAGGCTTCTATCCCTTCACACAACTTGATGTAAAGTAGGCGAACGAAATTAGTTACCTTTATATTGGTACACATACTTCTACAGCGCCGTATTTTGAACGCACAATAATACAGACACTGAACATTTGGTAGATATGAAGATATTTGTGAAATGGAAGTTAGAAGATATGCATCATTTTACTATTCAGAATGATATATTTTTAAAGACATTAGCCAGAAATTTTTAGCTTGTGACAGAGTTGCATAAGTTTGAACTATACAATTTCCTACAATAATCATATGGACTATGGCTAAAAATAGGAGAAAATTACTTTTGAATGCACGTATAACACCACCATCAGTACAATGAATCTTAGTAGTTTCACGTGCGTAACTTTCATAGAATATGTCTTCTTCACTTTTGAGTGAGTGTACTGTATTCTATTTACTTTTAGTAGCTATTGACATTTCGATGGTATGCGGTAACACTGATCCAGCTGAAATGTGTCTTTTTGCTGCCAAGTGAGTGCGCGCGACCTGCTAAAAAATCTCCAAGATAGCTCGCGATCGACTAATCCGTAATAAGGTCTTACACAAAAACCAATGAGTACTGAATATGTAGATAACTGCACACGCATACATAAAATCACGCCGCTGCCAATGAAATCACCTGCAAAAACGCATTTGTTTATGTTTCGTTCAATATGATTATGGAATGGCGTGGCGATCGACCGCGATCGACGTGTTGGCTAGCCTTGCTATATATAATTAGATAGCGTTAGTCGATAGATAGAGACAGTCCAATGATACTAATTAAGATAATTTTTGCAACTCAGAATAGCATCACACCAAGCCTGATTACATATACTCTCGGGATGATCCTAATGAGTTGAGTGTGTTGTATCAATTAGGCAACCTTGAGTTTTT